TGTGGGGCTCTGGGGATCAGCCCTGGCCGAGGGAGGGCAGTCACAGGCTGCCCGCAGGTGCTTGCCCTTCTTGGCCTACCCTGACGAAGCACCTACTGTGTGCAAAGCACTGTCAGGCCTGAGGGAACCCCTGTCTCAGGGTTTGGGGAATAGGAAAAGCACCTCACCCTTTTCTCACTTTTGGCTTCGAGGAAAAATTCATTCATTCATTCATTCGTTCGTTCGTTCGTTCGTTCGTTCATTCATTCACTCATTCGTTCGTTCATTCATGTGTTAGCACCATTGGTGGTTCAAACACCCAGGTCATCCGGCTCCTCTCCATCTTCGCTGCTGCCATCTCTCATCGGAACTGGTGCCACAACCTCGCCATTCGTCGTCCACCACTCTCGCTCCTCTTTTCGTCAGTCCTTCCACCACCGCCTGACTGATCTCTAAGACCTGGCAAACCCTAGGTTCCTATCGCTTCCCATCACACTTGGAATACATTACCGACGCCTCACGATGGTCTCCGGGGCCTTGGTCCGGCCCCTGCCTCCCCCTCGCTCCCCTCCGGGGTCATCTTCCCCGTTTCTCACGCGCCAGCCACGCTGGCCTTTTATTTCTCTGCAGGCCAGCTCCCTTCGCCCCAGGACCTGCGTCCTGGCCGCCCGTGCCCGGAGCGCTCTTTCTTGGACGTGTTACGTGCCTGGCTCCTTCTCCGCTCAACTCTAATGTCACCTCCTCAGAGAGGGGCCTTCTTTAGACGGGCGTCGCCCCATGTTCTTGATCCCCCCACTCCGCCTTTCCTCCCGTGTCTGACATGGTGACATCTGCTTGTCGCCCGGCATGCCTCCTTACACTGCAGTGGGAGCCCTGTGAGAGCAGGCGCCCCCCCCATCGCGCGCACAGTGTGTCTGCAGCACCTGGAACTGTAAATGTTTGTCCAATGAAAGGATGAGGACGGAGATGGTGGAGGTCGATCTGGGCAACTGGCTTCCGGTCCAGCGCCCTCCCCAGGTTTCTGGTGAAACGGGCGGAGATGCCGTGCTGAGGCCCTGCTTCCTCCTCAGTCCCTCTCTCCCCACCCACAGGTTTGTTCTCATGAACAAGATGGATGACCTCAATCTGCACTACCGGTTTCTGAACTGGCGCCGGCGGATCCGGGAGATTCGGGAGGTCCGGGCCTTCCGGTATCAGGAGAGGTTCAAGCACATTCTTGTAGATGGAGACACTCTGAGGTGAGTTTGGGGGGAGTTTTCCACGTTTTCCTTCTTGTGCCAGATCTTGGAGATGAAAACGGGCGTCTTTTTGAGGCAGAGGACGGTCCGCACGGCCCTGGGAGGGGAAGGCTGTTGACCGTGGCGGCCTTTCCGAGGGGAGCAGTGCCGCTCCCCCTGCACTTGCTTCTGCCGGCGCCTCGGGGTCACGCTCCTGGCCTCATTGGAAGCAGCCTTGTGAGAGGCAGGAGGCTGCTGGGCGTCGCAGGCGTTGCCCAAGCGCCCGAGAGTGAGGTCCTCCCTCTTGTGCAGAGAACAGACCTGTGGGTGGGAGAGGAGGATTGTGGGAGGTTCCAGGGGTCTCCTTCCTGTGTCTCGTTGTCTTAGGTGAAGAGTGGCCATTTCAAGGGCAGAGGAGTTCCTGTTTGGGGAAGGACAGTTCTGTAATGCACCCTGCTCACCACCCGACAGCCCTTTGGATTGTGTTTCTTTTCTCTCTCTTTTCGGGCTTGTACCCCTTCCCCGACTCCTTTCGAGCCTAACTCACAAAGTTGTCATTGACGGGGGGAAGAGAGTAGTGCCATGTAGCCTGGAAACAAGAAAGCGGAGGAGTGGGGACTGCATAACTGTCTTCCAGTCTACGAAGGGCTCTGGTCCAGAGGATAGAGGCCAGCCAGCCGTTCTCCTGCTCCACGAGGACAGAGCCGGAGGAAAAGGGCCGGAGCTGCAGCAGGAGGGATTGAGGTTAGACAGTTGTGAGACCCCTCGTGAGCAGCTAAGGGAGGCTCTGCTTTCGTCTCCCCCTGGAAATGAGGAAACCAGGCTTGCGGTGGTCAGGGTGGGTTGGACCCTGATTGGAGGCAGCGGGAGGACCTCAAGGATCTTGTTATGGTGTCTGTGCAGATGTCCTCAAGTGTGGCCTACTGGATTCTCCTCTGTGCTGGCCTTCGCAGGGTGGGGGCTGGAGATGAGGCCCTTCCCCCAACTCCTGGGCTAGGTTGCTAATGGAACTTCCCACTCATTCCTCCTTCAGTTACCATGGAAACTCTGGTGAAGTTGGCTGCTATGTGGCTTCTCGACCTCTGACCAAGGACAGCAATTATTTTGAGGTGGGCAGAGCAGGGGGTGAGATTGTTAAGCTCCAAGAACCTTTTTTTTTTTTTTTTTTTTTTTTTCTAGATTCACAGTCTGGGCCTTTTCATTTTCCATCAGAGCTGTCCTGTTGACCTGTTGGCTGGGGAAAGGGCACAGGATAGCATGGTGCCTAATCTGAGAGATAGGTGCCCTGGAGTCCTGTGACCCCGTCCCTTCTGCTCTCCTGCCCCTCATCTAAGTAGACTTTGACCCGTGTCCTTTCCCACCCATTAACCCAAGCCCAGCATCTACTTCGTGTCCTATCCATTAATTGGAAATTATTTTCTAAGTAATCATGGTAAAGTAGGCCCCCACTCTCCCAGTTCCCTCTCTGAGTGCCCTGTCTTTTTCTCTGATTCCCATGTCTGTTGTCTCTTTGAGCCTCAGGCCCCTTTGATGTCTAGCCTCCCTTCCCCACACGAGCATCAGCTCCCATTTCCCTTCTGTGCTAACTGTGCCCTGCTCTCCTCCCTCCAGGTGTCTATTGTGGACAGTGGTGTCCGAGGCACCATTGCTGTGGGGCTGGTCCCTCAGTACTACAGTTTGGATCACCAGCCTGGCTGGTTGCCTGACTCTGTAGCCTACCATGCTGATGATGGCAAGTGAGTTGCCTCCTGCGGAACCTAACCTGCCTATGGATTCGGGGGTTAGGGAATCTATACTAATAAAAGGGTAACATGCTAATTAGACTGGGTCGACCAGCCATCTTCCGGACGTCCAACTTCCTTCCGGACAAAGCCATGGTGGTGGGGGCCGAGACAGAGGCAGTTAGGGGCAATCAGGCCAGCAGGGGAAAGCAGTTGGGGGTGAGATCAGGCAGTCGGACATACCCCAAGGGGTCCCTGATTGGAGAGGGTGCCGGCTGGGCTGAGGGTCTCCCCCCCTCACTCCCTGTGCACGAATATCATGCACAGGGCCACTAGTCTTAGGTATAAAGGACTACCTCAGAGTGGCTTTTGCCATTCCTTCACCTATCTTGGGGTATTTCCATAGACTTTTCTGATCAGGACAGGAAGATGGCCTAATGGCTACTCTTGGAGGTTTGTAGACTTAGAGGAAGTGTGGAACTTGTGCTAGGACATAGGTAGATGTCATCACAGAATGACTGGGAGCAGCAAGGTGAGGCCTCAGCTGTTGGCACTGGGGAGAAGTTGGGAGGCTCAGCTCAGGCCCTGTGTCTGCGCTACTCTGTCCACAGGCTGTACAATGGCCGAGCCAAGGGCCGCCAGTTTGGATCAAAGTGCAACTCTGGGGACCGGATTGGCTGCGGTATTGAGCCTGTGTCCTTTGATGTGCAGACTGCTCAGATCTTCTTCACCAAAAATGGGAAGCGGGTAAGTGGAAATCCCTAGTTGGTTTTAAGCAGTTTGAAGCTGTGTAAGAATTTGTGGGAGTGATAAGAGTCTGCTGGCTGGCGCTTGCCCAGGGACCCACAGGCTCAGTTCCCATCTTCAGTCCAGCCTCAGGTTCTCCTGAAGTCTCCTACGTGTAGGAGAAGACACTTCCCTGCCCAGGTGAAGCTGGGGCATTACCCAGATGAAAGATGCAGAGGGGCAGTTAGTGCAATGGAGGAGGAGCAGAAATTGTGGGGGACAGATTTGGGGGAGGGTTTTGAGCAGGAACAAAGAAGAGAAGATTATGGCCTGGCTACATAAGCTGGAGGTCCTCTTTGGGTTTTTGACTTGAATACTTTCGAGGATATGTCCTTTCTGTGTTTATTTTCTTTGTTTCACTTCTCCTTCCCTTTCTTCAAAGAGAGACTAGTAGTAGGGAAGAGATGGGATAACGCACACAGCAGGGAGAGCCATCAGCTCTGTACCCCACCCTGGGAAAATGGCTTCCTCAGGCCCAGGCTGAGAAGTCCTATTCCCTCAGCACCTAGGCCTCAGCGCTTTCCTGCCTCCGGGCACACGCACTCATACCAAACGTATTTGGCAGCAAGTTGAGAGCCTTGTGTTTGCCTTCTAGCTCTGTGCATACCTTGCTCGGCTAGGAGTACTTAGCAGCTTTTTTTTTTTTTTTAATATTTTTTTTTTGTTTTTTTACAGAGGGGAAGGGAGAGAGAAAGCTAAAA